GTGATAAATATTACACTTGAAATACTAGTAATATTAATTTGCTCACTTCCTTTTTCAACACTGTAAAATATGATAAGCTCTCTATAAAACATCAATGTATTTCTCACAGGAACCAAATTACACTAGTAATAAAAAAAAGATTTTATCTAAATACCCTTTTATTACCAACATCCAAAAACATTGAAACCAAATTATGCGGAGGTGGCGCAGTGGTTAGAGCGCTTGCTTAATAAGCAGGAGATCCTGGTTCAAAACAAGCCTTGGACATATTTTCGCGTCACGGTAAGGAAGGAGGCGTGAACTTCCTGGTTAAATGCACTTTAGCGGTGCACTGGTGACAAGTCGCGGTGACAAGACTGTAAAGTCTTCTTCGGGCACCTAAATAACAATAAAATAAATAAAAAATAAATTAAGAAATTTTAATTTAAGTAAAAGGTGTTTTTTTAAGGCCGATAGAACTTTAAATTGTAAATTTTAAAATAAAAAAATAAACTTTTATAAAAAATTTTGTTTTATTTGTTTCAATCTTCTCTAGCAAATAATAGTGAATAGACTCACGCTTGAACAACGCTACGACATTATTAAAATTTACTTTGAAAATAAGTCGTCAATTCGGGAAACTTATTGACAACTTCGTGATTTTTATAAACCATATAATCATCCATGTGAGCGATCCGTCGAACTGTAGATTTTGACATTCTCTCTAGAGGATTCAATAACATCAACTCGTCGAAGGAAGAGAATATCGCTGCTGTAAACAAAAGTGTGGAAAAGGATTTAAATTTATCGATTCGTTGTTGTCGCAGACATTAGGGCTCTGTCCATCCATGACATGGAAAATTTTGAGCAAAGATCTTGGGATACACTCCTATAAGATTCAGTTGGTGCAAAAATTAAAGCCGCAAGACCATTATATACGTCGTTCCTTCGCCGATCGGGTTCTAGAGCAGTTAATAACTGACTCGTTGTTTTATAGCCAAATTGTGTTCAGCAATAAGGCTAATTTTTGGCTTAATGGTTTTGTTAACAAGAAAAATTGCCACATATGGAGTGAGACTAATCCACAAGAAACCCAACAGACTCCATTACATCCAAAAAAATGTATATGTATATGTATATAAATGTGTGTATGTGTGTGTATTTATGTGTATATATATATATATATATATATATATATATATATATATATATATATATATATATATATATATATATATATATATATATATATATATATATATATATATATATATATATATATATATATATATATATATATATGTTATGTTTATGTTATGCATTTTCCTAAAAACACGACTAATTATATTGAAAAATGTAATGAATAAAATATTTGAGTATCTCGTGAAATTGTTTAAAAAAAGGTTCTCGATGACAAGACTTTACACAGTTTTCTGAGAGTTTCCCTTGACTACATAACTAAAGGTTTAATTTTTCCCTTTTTTAGACTTTTTTTGTCTTTTCAAAATATAAACTGAAAAACTATTTTACATTATTTTATTACTTTGTACATCAAATATATCTTAGTATTATTTCAGTTATTTTCAAAGCATTTTGACTATATTTGTAATAAAAGTATACATTGTTAAAACTATTTGTAATAAAAGTATGTATTGTTAAAGCTATGTAGTTGTAAAAAATATATGGAAAAAAAAAAAAAAAAAAAAAAAAAAATGCACCGTTTGGTGCGGTTTACACACTGGTGGCATCATTGGACCTTATTTCTTCATAAATGAAGCCGGAGCTCGCGTTACGGTCATTGGAGATCGATTCCGCACCATGATCAATAATTAGGAATGTTTAAGAGTATAGATGACATAGGTACAAACGAGATGTGGTTTCAACAGGATGGCGTTATTTGCCATGCAGCGACTGCAAACATTAACTTAATGAAATCAAAATTTAGAGATAAGTTAATTTCATAAAATGGACTTGTCAATTAGCCTCCAAGGTCGTGCAATTTGACAACTCTGGATTATTTCCTGAGGGGCTATGTGAAGTCACTGGTTTATGCTGATAAACCAGCAACAATTGATGCCTTGGAGGCCAGTATTGTTTTTGTTATTCGTGACATAAGACCAGAAGTTCTTGAGAAAGTGGTCCAAAAATGGACATCCAGAACGAGTTTCGTGAAGAACTGCCGTGGTGTCCAAAATTATTTTTAAGTGTTAATGTCATGTATTGATCTTTCAAATAAATAAAAAAGTTTAATTACAGTTTTTTTTTTTTTTTTTTTTTTTTTGTGTTTTTTTCAATTTGAAGTTCTATCGGGCTTAAAAAAACTTTACATATCTAATGAATATTAATTTTATCTTTTATTATTATTTGCTTTTTTATATTACTGTATAAATATAGCTATTAATATTTTCATTTTATACTGATTTTTTTAACTTTATTACTGCTATTATTATTATAATTCATTTATCTTTGTTTCAGAAGCCTTATTAATATCATTTATACTGGTAGTGATTGCATTGTAGTAATAGCTTTCAGGAGCGGATGCAGCATTTTTTGATGTTTGAGATACCTAACCTTCAGACATGGAGCAAATACTCCAAAAATTTATATGTTTATACTTATATCAAATAAGGATGCTTTGCAAAAACTTGCAATGATTGGAGCCTGCGAACAAAAAAGCCCTAAAATTTTAGCTTCACCTGCCCCAAACATGAGAGCAACAGGTTGATCAAATATTTTTTCTACTATTCTCAACCAAGTATATATTAACTGATAATTTTTAAAACTCACACAATAATCTCTTAGTGTTCAAAAATTATGGCCTTATAAAATTTGCAACCCCCTCAATTTGAGGGGGGTTCAAACTTTTTATGGTCAGTTTTTGAACGCTAAAAGATTTTTGTGTAAAATTTGTCGATGAATATAGATTTAGTTAAGAATAGTATAAAAATTATTTTATTAACTTGTTACTCTGGAAGTTAGGTACCTCAAACATCAAAAAATGCTGCATCCGCGCCTGGCTTTTTTATCTAGTTATATGGTATAATTTTTGCAATTGTTACGTTTGTTTTATAATTTTTGTCATATAAATTTATATACAATTACTTTTACCATAGTTTTTATCATTAAATATAACTTTTGCTAAAGTTATCATATTATAGTTATTATTTGTAATGTTTTTTTATTCATATTATTGTTTTTATGTTAGTTTTCTTTTGTTGTTTTTTTTCTCTTATTTTAAATTCTTTCTACGTTTTATTTTACTAGTTTTTATTAATTTATTTTTTTAAGGTATTACTCTATTGACTAGTTTTTAACTTTACGACTTAAAAACTAGTCAATAGTCACCTAACCTTATTTATGTGAGTTTAAATTTATTATAGTAAATTTTTCATATATTATGGTTAAATAACTGGACAAATAAAACCTTATCAATCTGAGTTAGCATTTCATAAAATCAAAAAGAAGATATTATTTTGAAATAAACAAGAACATTAAAGGTAGAATATAAAAATTAGAGAGGCACTAAAAATACGGAAAAAAAAAACATCTGCGCGAAACGGTGGTGTTAATCTTGATGAAGGCCAATATGTCAAAACTATGTTTTGGACGCCTTTTTTCAAATTTAAAAGCTAAACAGGCCATTTTATCTGACATCAATATTAACAATTTTATATAAGCTTCAACGGTTAGGGGTCATCCATAAATCACGTCACGTTTCAGTTGGAAGGGGGGCAAGGGTCAGTGGTTTTGTGACAACTCATACGCAACTTGTTACTAAAGTGTTACAATGTTATGACGAGGGCGGAGGGGGTTGGGGTCTAAAATAGTTAATAATTGCGTGACGTAGTTTGTAAACGACCCCTTAAAATTGTCGTAATATTTAATAAGCTAATAATGCTAGTATCAATAACCCAGCAAAAGTTTCTGAAATAATAAAATTATAGTATTGAGAGGAACTGTATTTTGTGATTTTTTAAAATAATATATAATATACAGTTATAAACTGTATATACTGATACTAAATTGTATACACTCAACTAAACTGATATACAGAAGTAGTTGTATAATATACTCTCATTTATGAGAGTATCAAAATACAGTTGTTAAAATACCCTCCTTAAATTTTATAATATAATATCTTGTATACAATATAACAAAACTTAAGGAGGTATTTTTACAACTGCTTTTTGATACAAATCCACTCTTTCTCTGCCAGATTCAAGCATAAAATTGTGGAACTTTTTTCCAGTCAAAGGAAACAATTTTAGGCTTATAATGAGGCAGAGAAGGATATGTACCAAACATTTCAACTAATACGTAAGGGTATATTTTACGTACTTGTTTTATTATCGACATCCCCCAAGTTGTAGCATTATTTTTGCCACAAGAATGACTCTTTACATCCTTAGATCCCATAAGATCCCATAATGCTTCAGCATGTCTAAGAGTTTAGTAAATATTTTCCTTTATAGTAGAATAATTTAATCGAACAATTATTAATGTAGCGGTATCTTTAACAATGTTCTTTTTTTTCACTTAACTCTTGACATTAATCAATTAATGAAAATATTTTTTTTATTAGATCTATAAATTTAATAAATAGAAATTTAAAAATGTCATTTAATTTTAAAAGTATAAAGTAATCCCCTTCACCCTTTTAGAATAATTTGTCTTGCGCCTCCGAGATTGCGTTTTAAACTACGCAATTGTTTTAACTCTAAAAGCATGGCGAAGTGATTAAAAGTGGTTAAAAGGTGACAACAGATTTCAAGTCCGAAGTTTGATGCCGATTTCAAACGTAAAAGTAACATTTTTAAAAAAGTTAGGGAGTTTTCCTTATTAAATCTTTTTTCTGTATCTGGCCTATAAGTTAATTTACTGTGCCAAAAAACGAAAATAAGTTTTTTAACACGTAAATATTATATAACACATAAGTATTGAATTTCCATTAATTAAAAGCAGAAATGTTAAATGTTTAAACCAATCAAATTAAAGTAAAAAAACGTACAGTGCAATGAATATTAAATAAATGAAAGTTTATTTTTAATGCTGAAGCAGAAACTTTTTACTTTATATTGTTATTGTTTTTTCTTGCAATGCTTGAAACTCAAAACCCTCTAAAAAAATTTTTTTGACGATATCTTGGAACGCCCATAAATTGTTGCTGAACGACGTCGCTTTCTTCTCTTTTCATCTCATCACGTCCATTACTTCTCATATATAAATCGTTTAAAACCTTTTTTTTTGGTGTGTAAGGTTCAAACTCTGTTCCAATTTCTAGTTCGTCATTGTTACGTTGAGTTTCAATTTCTTCTGTGTCACTCACACGATCGGGATAGAATTTTTTTGGTGAATCGTAAAATAAGTTTTCAAACTTGTTACTGGTTTTTTTAAAATCATTTTTTTCGGATTTAAAAGAATTTTCTTGATTTTGAACACTTTTGTCTTTATTTTTTAGCAAATCATTATTTGGGAGTTCGTTTTTTTCTTCTTCATTTTTGATTATTTCTTTTTTCTTCTCTTCATCTACCAGTTCATTTTTTGGTACAATAATATTGTTTTCACCATTAAGAAAATCATTTGTCGATAATACATTTTTTTTTTCTCCATTATCTTCTTTGCTTTTTATTCTGACATAGTCACGAACTTTATCAATTAAATTGTCGGTGACTACAGGTTTAACAATTTCATCAGCTCTATTCATAACGGCTTTAATAAAATCTTGAAATATTATATCTTTTAACTGATCAACGTTTTTGACTGTTGACGAAGTTTCTTGATTTTCTGGAATTTGATTTACAATCGATTCTTTGGTTATAATTTCACTTTGATTGTTCTCAGAACCTTTTTGTAATGGCGAATCTAGTTTGCCGTTGAGCAAATCTATTTCAGCTAGTTTATTAGGCGCTGTATCTTTTTCAGATAACTTACTAGTTGGCAAATCATTTTTATCTAGTTTACCAGCTGTCAGGTCTTTTTCAGCTACCGTACTAGATTTCGGATTGTTTTCGACAAGCTTACTAGGTTCGGAATCGTTTTCGGCAAGTTTGCTGTTTTCTTCTTTTTTTTCTGATAATTTAAGAGTTGTCAGGCTTTCTTTAGTTAATTTATTAGACGCTAAATCTTTTTCAAAAGGTTTTTCTTTCTTTTCGCCGTTATCTTGGTTCTGCGCATTTTCCTCGCCGTTTACGAAATTGACTTTTTGATAATCAAAGTTTTGCGGTACAGGATTTTCTTTTTCTCTTTTTAATTTGTTAGACATATCCTCATTATCAAAGGCAAATTCTTCTTCTAATAGATTTTTTTTTACTAAAAAGTTTCTATCCAAAATTTTTTTTTGACTATTATAGTTAATGTCCATTAGAGAGTTATCTATGTTATGATCGTCATCTATCCCGTTGTTATAGGAAATTCCTGTTTTGCCATCATAATTTTCTTGTGAAACAAATAAGTTTCTTTCAGGGTAATTTATGTTTTTTTTTTGTAATGCATATTTCTGTGGGTCTTCTATTTTAATGAAATTATTATTTCTAATTAATTCTCTTTTTGATTCATAAGGATGATTCCAATTGTACGGGTTATTAAGTTCTCTACGAGCGCCTTTAAAGTTTCTGATGAAATCATATGAATTTTGGTAATTTACAAAACGCGGTAAGTTTTTTTCTTTTTCATAATAACGCGTAGGCGGTTGTTGATTATAACCACGCTCTATCAAAACGTTGCTATCAATCGGATCATCGATTCCATTTTGATATTCGTTATTTTGAAACCTGTAATTAGCTAAAAAAAAAAAAAAAAAAAGACACGAACATAATAAATTTTAATTTTTTAAACCAAATTTTCAAATAAAAACATGCTAAAATTTTTACCATTTAAAGTGTAATAGATAAATTTTTTTTTTAGTGCTTTATTATATATATTATCCAGAGATTTATGTAAACTACCTGATCTCTTTATGAACAAAAAAGTTATTAAAAGAGAGTCAACTATTAACTTTCTAGGAGTGATATTAGATGAAAATGTATCATGGAAATATCATATTAGATCTATTGAAAATAAAATCTCCAAAAATATTTCAATGCTATATAAAGTTAAACCTTTTCTTCATACGGAATCTTTAAAAATTATATATTTCTCATTTATTCATAGTTATCTTTCCTATTGTAATCTTGCATGGGCAAGTACCAATTATAAGAAGCTCAAAAAAATTTATAGCAAACAAAAACATGCTTGTAGGATTATTTTTGGCGTTAACAGAACTGTTAATGGTGAATCTCTTTTAAAGAAACTTAATGTGCTTAATATTTACAAACTTAATATATACCAAGTTATGCTATTTACGTTTAAAACAAAACATGCGTTATCTCCTAATATATTTCAGTCTTACTTTACCGAAATATCTCATAAATATCCCACTAAATTTTCATCTGATAATTTTGTTATTCCAAGATCTTATTTAAAACTCAATTCATTTCAAATTCAATACCGGGGACCATTTATATGGAAAGGTTTTTTAAAAAATATAATTAAAAATAAAATTCTTCGAGGCATCTCCTTAGAACAATTCAAAAGAGAATCTAAACGTTTTCTATTAGAAAAAACTTTCGATTTTAAAGATTTCTTCTAAAATCACCTAAAATAATTAAACCTGAAAAAGTCATCACTACTTATTTACTATTGTCTTGTGTATCTTGTTTATTTCTTATTAAAATAAAAAATATATATACTATTAATTTTGAACAGACAAATAACATTTATTCGATTTATTACTTGTGTCTTATATCTGTCGAACTAATATTGTATTGTACTTCAATTTTTAACCTTTTAGTTTTTAACTTGTAACTTAGTGACGTTAATGTAAACGGGGCTTGGCGATAAGACAGTTTATGTCTTCTTCTTGCTCCGGCCAATTTTTATACATGAATGGTTTTTTCTCATTGTAAATTTAATTATACGGCAAAGAAAATATAATAATAATAATAATAATCTTATCTTAGGTGGGGAAAATAATAAATTATTCTAGCGGTTAGCGGTTATTAGCTACAAGCGGTTAAATTTCTTTTTGAATCTATGATAATACTGAAATTATTAACAAATCGTTGACTATCATTTTTTTTTACTTGTGCAAAGATAAATATTAGATTTATCCTTATTTTTTGTACGTATTTCGACGTTTGCGGCCTGTTTTATTAGGGTCCACGTTTTTCATTTGATAATTTATTCAAGAAAATTCAAATAAAAGTTAATTTAAATTAAAATTTCTCCTCAAAGTTTGTTACGCTTAACGTATTACAAATTAAACCATTTAAAGTTTAAATTATGTCAAAAAAGTTTCAAACTTATTCTACTGTTAAAAAAATTATATTTATAAGTAATTTTGATTTGAAATTTGATTTCTAATGAAATTTTATTAAAAAATTGTTAAAGCGAAAAGTTTTTACGCAAGTAGAAAAAATTATAAAAAAGTAATTTAATGTAAAATAATAAAAATTTTTTGGTGCCTAAAGTTTAACGAGATACTTTAGGAATATATTTCATAAAAAGTCTATGAATTGAAAATATTAAAACATGTATATCTTTGGAACTAAATAAGCTACAGAAGTGGTAGAAAACTTTTTGGAAATGAAATATATTAAGGAATCTAATGTATTTAATATAAAATATACTTACATTCACTAAAAAAGTTTCCTAAACTTCCTACGTTAACTTATTTAGAGAGTTAACCAAATACACTAAATTCAAAACAAAAAGCAAAAAGCTGTAAATTGGCGGAACTACAGGCCGGATTTCGATGCTGAAATAATACCAAATAAACTGCTGGTATTTGACTAGAGGCAATTCTAAAAAATGAGGGGTATGAAGAATCGATTAAAAAAGAAGATTCTTAAAAAAAGAAGGACCTCAAAACTAAATTCACCCGACTGAATTACTCAATGCAACTAAGACATAGAACAAACTCGAAAAAAAAAAAAGCCGTTATTTAAAACAAATCCGATTGGTTGTTAGTAGCAAACCGAAAAACCTTATAATTAATGGTATTTAATTTATGCAAACAAAGAATTCGAATTTAAAATAATTTGTTTATAAAGTTTACCGCCTCTGTTTTTTATTTGTTTACGCATTCTGAATGTAGTACTTAATTATTTCAAGATGCCCAAATAAGTCCCGAGGATTTCAAAAAAATGATACTAAATACCGAAAACAGTTTTTTGAATGGGCCTAAAAGTTATGATTATTTATACAAAAAGGACTTTGGCAGAAAAATTGACTCTACCATTGGTTATCTAAATCTAACGTGACATTATTGTTAAACATACTATTTATATACTATTTATATAAATATATACTATTTAGGTGTGGTATTGAAAATAGTAACTTCAAATTTCATAAAAAATTCGTTTTTCATGGATAATTTTCCCGAATAATGTCTGATTAGAAACGTCAAATTACATTCACTGAAAACAAACACTAATACGCGCTTTTATGAAAAAATCAAAATCATAGACTTATCTATAGCCAAGTACTTTATGTTGGAAATTGCATCTTTTCTAAATAAAACTAGGCTTGATGATTTATGAAAGTCGCATTACTTTTACTAGATTATAATAGTAGTTAAAATAATCTTTCCATACATACCAAATATGTAATATTTTTTAATGAAAAAGTTTATATATATTGAAATTTAAAAAACTAATATTTTTGTTCCGAAAAACGTGCACCATGCCTTAGTTGCATTGAGTATGTCAAAAATTTCAGATTGCTTTGTGTTTCTTAAATTCGTAAAGACCAGGACCAATAATCTAACCATATCTCTCTATATATTCTCATAGTCCGGGTCTTCATTATTATATTAACTAATTTTGTAACAATAACATTTTATGACTCCTGTTTAGTGTTTAGTGTAACTATTTAGTGTGCACACACTCACAAACATATTAAAACAATTAAAATTACGTTGTAAGTAAAAAACAATTAGTGTAAAAAAAGCACGTAATAAGGTAAACGTTACCTTGAATGCATGTTGCAACCAGCAATATAAATGCCAACGTAGAAAAAATAAGTTTCATGTTTAACGCATTCGAAATGTTTTAGCTACAAAAAGTTTTCAACTATAAATGTAAGTAAGATAAATGTAAAAAAAATTAAAATATAATCCACTTTTATAATTTTACAATAGAGTTTAATTAGGAAAACAAAACATCTTAGTGACTAAATTAAATTGGGCGCAGCGACAAGATCATGTTTCGAAGCAACTGAGTTATATTAACAATCATAGTATAAAGTTGATAAATATCAAAACTTTATTAAAACTTGTTTAAGTTATGTTTAGTTATTTGTTGAGGAACTAAATAGAGATATTATATAAAACAATAAAGGTATTAACTATAATGGAAAACAACATATACTCAATCAAAATGCTTTTATTCTTGACAACTTATTTAATTTAAAGAATGTGTTCATTGTTTCTTAGCAACAAATTTTAATAAACTTAAAAAAAAATTTTATGTTTATGATCCTTTGAAATAATTTAAGTTTTTTTGTCACCTAATTCATATAAACTTTTTCAAAAATGTGACGCAGTGTTTACTTTATAAAAAAAACTTCCTCATCAACAGCCATTTTGGTGGGCAACAAAGCGATAAAGTATTCTCAGTGCAGCTTACTAAGTATTCTTGTAGCAGGTTGACTAGGGTTAAAATACTAGTTAATTTTACCTTCGCAACTCGTAAAGAGCCATTTGGGGTATCTTAAATAATTTTAAGCATCTTTGCCAAATATGCTTAAAAAAAGGTGCATAAAACGATGCCTAATAAGGGTACATAATTGGTTAAGCGCTCTATTCCCATTCATTAAATAAAAGATACATTACACAATAATAAAAAAGTTGCTTGCGAATAGAATTCAAAACAATAAAAATTATAATTAGCATAATTAAACCGTTTTTTTAATTTATTTATTTGTAACAACATTAGGCTTTTGAAAATCTTGGAATATGTCAAATAATATCTAGTATAATACATATATGATAATTTGTAATAGTATAAAATAATATATACAGTTTTTTATAAACTATGTCGGTAGTATTACCCGGTGATCTAATTTCTGGTAGTAAGTGGAAGCCAGTAAAAATGGCAATTATATCATGGATGATATAATTCCCATTTTTAATTCTGAATATGAAGCTCAAGAATTTTTCAAACACCTCAATAAACAACATAAAAATTTTAAATTTACTATGGAAAAAAAACAAGATAACCAGATTGCCTTTTTAGATGTACTTATTAAAAAATCCAACTCATTATTGACTTCAGTTTATTATTATTATACGATATATATATATATATATATATATATATATATATATATATATATATATATATATATATATATATATATATATATATATATATATATATATATGTATATATATAGCTAGATGGTTAGTTCAAATAAGTTGCTATCCGAGCTTATCGGCTCACACAAAATAACCCATCCGAGGATAAGCCACTGTAGCAATTATGAAACTGGAGGTTTCTTGAATGCGTTCACTGTATAGTCGGATAGTGAGTTCCCACAGTTCATGATTCTGTTAATGAAGAAATTGCTTTGCAGTGCGCTGTTAGGGACTAGTTCTTTGATCAGTTATCCTCTACGACCAGTTCTTGGCTCTCTTTTGATTGTTGGTATACACCATTTCACTTTGCCGATTCCTTTTAATATTTTAAATTGTTGAATGAGGTTCCTTTATTGACGCAAAGTCAGACTAGTTAGGTTGAGTTTGGTTAACCTTTCTTCATCGCTATGTTGCCTCATTGCGTGTCCAATCTTGGTGGCTCGTCTCCGAACTATTTCAAGTGTTTTTTGGTGATTTCGTCGATGGTGACCAAGTGCATACTGCCTATTCCAAATGTGGCCTGACATATGTTACATAGGGTTTTGTCCATAATGCTGGATCTTGCGATACAAACGTTTTTTTTTTTACTAGTCCAAGAAATTTATTTGCAATCGATGCGGCTTTACTAACCTGTTTTTTTGGTTTGAGATTTTTACTTATTGACTTCAAGGTCTATTTCTATTATCGTTGTTCTTAGATCTCTTTTTGCGCCTGATAGTGGATCTAGCATAGTGTATATCACTGATTTGTTTGCTCGTCCAATGTGCATCACTTTTGATTTACTAAGATTTAGTTTCATTTGCCAAGTGCAGCACCAATCACTTATCTTGTTGATGTCATTTTTCAGGCTTTTAGTGTCAAGCTCTTCATTTCCTGGCCAAATTGGTGCTACTAATTTGGACATTTTGAAGCCAAAGTTAATGTTGTCTGGGAGGTCGTTAATGAAGATGGCAAATAGAATTGGTCCTAGCACGGATCCTTGGACAACACCGCTAGACACTTGTGTCCATCCTGATATTGTGTCGCCTAGAACGACTTGCTGTTGTCGATTTTTTTAAAATGGTATCAAAAGATAGGTATTAGAATAGGCTACAAATTTATATTGGTCGCTAGCCAAAGGGCGTATCGAAGGGAGGCTAGAGGGGGCACCGAACCAAGTAATAAATTCAAATTTTAATGAATAAAAGAGTAATTTTTTGTGGAAATTTTTAATTTTCATATGCAAGAAGTAGTTATAATTTGCTTCAGACCATTCCAAAATAAGAGAAGTTTATTATTGTGCTATGGTGGGTGTAAGGGTGTCAGTTTAACACACCCTATAACTTAAAAAAAATTTCAATAAATATTTTTATCTTTATTAAAAAAAAGTAAACCTAATAATTAATACAAAATTTTTTTTTTAAATAATTACAAAAATTTCTTGTCTTTACACCAGTAGTGGACATTTAGAATCAAGTGAAAGGATGTGTGCCACAACACCCTCCAACTTAAAATAAGAATTAAATTTTTGTTATGCAATTTAAAAAAATTTAAATGCTATTTTATAAGATAATAAAAATTATTATAAAAACATATCTTACCACATTACAAGATGCATCATTTTACCACATTATAAGATATTGCCATTCTTTCTTTATATCAGCGTTCGAATACCCCCCCCCCCCTCCCACCTTAAATAAATATTTAAAAATAAAAATACTTTGAATTACAACAAATACTAACTTGCGTCTTGGCTTTTAGTGAATGATTAAAATTTTAAGTTTCATCAATGAAACTAAATAAAAATCATTTATAACAATAGACACGACGAGAATGTAAGCCAGAATCGTCTATCAAAAAAATTACAAATCATACCATTTGCAGTACCTTTTCTGTAAGTAACACGACTTGTGGTACCTATTTTGTAAGTCACACCACTTGCATTACCATATTTGCAACTCACACCACCTGCAGTATTTTCTATGCAAGTCACACCACTTGCGGTTTCCTTTTGGCAAGTCACACCATTTGCCATTACTATTTTGCACTTGCGGTATATTTTTGCTAGCCACACCATATACGGTACTTTAATTGGAAGTCACCACTTGTTGTATCTGTTTTGCATCACCATAGTTACCTAGTATTGAAAATAAAAATTATATTTTACTACTTTATAACATACACTAGTGGCCTACATGTCAAATCAGTAAATGGGTTCCGCCCCTCTCTTCCCTTTGTAAAAAACATCAAAAAGTTACAAAACAAAAGGAAAAAATTGCAATTATGAAAAAAAAAAAAAAATGCTGTTTAAAACAACAAAAACAATTATAAAAAATATCTCACCACATTAGATGCAACAAAGTATCTGTTTTTCAATACCTTTTTGCAAGTCACACCACATGCAATACTTCTTTTTCTATTAGACAGTAACATTAAAGCACAATAATATTGAGTAACATTAAAGCATATTAAATTAAGAAAATATCAACACTTCTGATACAATATCAGAAGCAAGTTGGTAACATTAACAGTAACATTAAAGTACAATAATATTGAGTAACATAAAAGCATATTAAATTATTAAAATATCAACACTTCTGATACAATATCAGCAGCAAGTTGGAATTTTTACATGCAATGGTCAACAGTTGCATCTTTTTTCCAGAAGAAAATAGTATAAATTCTGTCTTCTTTTCTTTCATCGACTTTTTTTACTTTCCCATCATAAATGACAGACTTGCTATTATCTGTAATAGCAAGATAGATAAATACCCATACCCATAGATAGCAAGATACCCATTAAATTCATGGCAGAGTTCTCTTCCAACAATTCTTTCATACATTAAATCATATATGTCATCAAGTTGCTTAGTAGACAGGTGCTCATATAAATTATTTATTTCATTGAAAGATAGCAAACTCAGCTCTCGCTCCAATTTCCTTTTTTCTTTTTCACCAATTTTTTGCCTTTTGTATGTCTGTCTTTTTGAAATCTCTGCTCATAATGCAGTATAATTCAGTCAGTTCGCTATTCTTTTTATATGAGCTGCTTTAATAGACCACTTAACTGCATTTTCTTTCTCGATTTGGTCAAGATTATCAAGATAATCCAGTCATATTCTTTTTAAATCCTAATTTGCAAGATATATAACAAAAAGTGGATCTCGCTTTAGCTTCACTAAACATACCCATCAACTCTTTACTATCTTAATTTATTACTATCAAATCAAAATTAGTCATCCATGGCCCAGTGAGAAGTTTTCCAAATAAACCAAGAATACACAGTTTTATAGCAGTTGTGTAACAAAATACAGTAGTGTTGAAAATTGGAATAAATTGAAGCCATACTATCCACTGCATTACCTATATGTTTTTTAGAATCATCAGGCATTCCTCCAGGCAATTGGCCCAAAGCAATAACCTGACATTTATTTTTTGACGTTAAGTGGACACTATTAATATGAACACCTTCCTGCGTAATGGCGTCAAACCCAAGAGTAAGATTTGTATTGCAGATAGCCCACTCTGCAGCTTGCATGTCAAAAATGCAACCAAGCTTACGAGCCATTTGCTCAACAGTAATACGCTTGGGAATATGCAACAAACCAACACCAAAATATTGTGCAGTTTTTTCCAATAGGATTGGAATGTTACCTGTTAGAACATTACACAATAAAATGCTATAGATTATCATTCTAGTTTGTATTTAGTAAGCTTTATTATCTCCTGACGCAACTGAAGCAATACAATCAACCTCCTCCATTTAGGTCATATCGTTTTCTAATCTAGCAATTTCAA